GTGTTTTTTTAAGTGTCACCACACTTTAACATGTGAGATCAGCTACTTACTCACAAGTAAGAAATGACACACGTAATGGTCTATTTGTAATAATGTTAATCTTATCTCATTATTACATACGACCACGGATGATTTAAAATTCAATCATATGTAATTTGTATTCACAATCACAACTCCTTGTGATTAAAAAATTACAAAGACTTAAATCTATAGATTCTATAATTTAATCTATTAGAATATTAATTCAATTAAATAATAGTTCTTGCCATAAATATGTATCAATTATATATTAAAAGTGTTTATTTTCAAAGTTACTTTGACCTAGGGTAGAACACTTATAAACTCAATTGCACTAAATTTAATCACTTATGCATCTTTTATCATAAGAATATACATGACGATCATGTTTATGCTGCGAAAAGTTTTTGTCAGTAGATTTGCAAGTTAATAACTTGTGGGAATTCGTTCTTTCTTTACGTCATTTCTTTGTATTATCTCTCTAATAAGATGATACCGCCTTAACACATATTTGAATTATTGATATGACCTTAGTTCCTTCGTTTGTACAATGGTTCCTTTGTTATCACAATGCAGAAGCATGTGATCAATAATGTTAAGAACTACTCCCTGATCCATATCACTACTTTTGTTACTTTCTAAAACAATGATTTATAAGACTTTTACTATTGAATCAACGATTATTTCATGTTTGGAACTTTTTCAACACATCGCTTAAAAGTAAACCAATATCCCGATTGAGACTACTGATTTAGACGTTGCTCGTCAGAAGTCAGAATGTTCGAAAAGTCGACCGTTGCGGATAAACCGGATGTCCGATGGACCGAAATTTTCTGACTCCTCTCGTTTGATTGTTTGAAACAATGTAGGCTTATAAATGACCTTTTTACTTGATTTTTCAAAGTAAGTGATGCAAGTAGGTTTGAAAATTAAATTGAAATTTTTACCTTCGAAAAATAAATTTTGTCCAAACTTTTTACAAAGTAGATTTTTCTTGTGCATAAAAATTAGTTACTTAACCTTCTAATAAGTCATTGATAAAAATTAAAGTATTTTACCTTTAAAAATTAGCTCAAACATCTAGTTCTAATATTTTCGATTGATTTGACGCGAGTGCTCGATTTGTCTCCGATTGTGAATGCTCGAATCCATCTTAAATTTTCTTGATTGTCAACTGTAAGTCATTTAATAACAGTTGCTTTGTCTCCAATTTGATCAACATGTAACAATGAAGACTCGAATAAAAATGTGAGAGATAAAACTACTTTATTTGTTATAATCAAAGTATAAGATCAACCAGAGGTCATCAGTTTCATCTATGGATTGTTTGCTATTTAGTCCTCGACTTTTGGATTTCGCCATTTTTTCACTATTTTATATTCTTTTCTGAAATTTTTCATCAAATATTGAGTTTTATCTACAGCATGCAATAGAACACAAGTTAGGTAGTATTTTATTTTAAAAAAAGTAAAATATCATCATTTAAGAATTCGAATAGGTGTAGAAACTACACTTATCATTGATTCATATGCTTAATAGATTGAAATAGGAGAACTTAGATGCTAAAATAAAAAATTACTACAATATATATCCTTCGACAAAATTTAGATTATTTTAGGGAAGATTTTACTGCTGTAGAGAGATATGAATATGAATGTGGATTCCATGTATGTAAATAATTTTGTGAATTGTCTAATATCAATATAATAAAAATTAGGTGAAAATCTTAAGTTTTGGATCGATTTTTGAGAATGAGTGTTTAATGAGGGGTATTGCACTAATTAAGGTAAAAAAAAAAAAGGAAAAAAGACTAAAAAGATAAAAAAGAAAAGAGAGAAAAAAATCATCTCAATGTGAAACGTCTCTTCGTAGTCTTTATGATTTGAGTGATTAAACTTGTAAGGGTATCTAAAAACTTGGTGCCCAACGTTCAACTGACTTGAGAGTCATCGACCTATTACCCATCATAAGATTACGTGCATCACGACTTATAATCCTCAAATACTTACTGTGGGGCACATATAGTACGATTATTTGG